CGCAGGCTCGCCGCCGCTGCGACTCTCGCCGGACAGCCCGACACCGCGCTGTCTGGCTGTCTGGCTGTCCGGCTGTCCGCTGCTCTGGGACGGGGGCGGGCCGGGCGGGGTCAGCGGGGCGGGCTCGGCTCGGATGCTCCCGGGACCCCCGCCGCTGCCCGCCCGACCCCTCACCCTGGCCGTACGAGCCGTACAGCCGCCGACGGCACACTGGACATGCCACTAACTCGGTGTGGTTTGTGCGCTGAACAATACATGGTCAGGACCTGACAGCGCGGGGCGACGCTGGCTTCGTTTGTGTTTGACAGGGGGTCGGCGGCGAGCTGGACAGCTAAGATCTTGCTGGTAGATTGTGTGGAATTGGACGGCCAGATCACATCTCTCGACGCGGTCACCGGTGAACAATCTCTGGGGCAAGATGAGTTTCAGAGTCGCACTGGCGCAAGATGAAGGTGAAGCCAAACCTGACCAGCAGCTTCAGTTTAGGGTGCACGCAAAGTTCCCAATTGGTGCGTGAGCATAATCAGAATGCGACCATAGCTATCAAGTCAGCTGGCTTCTGTTTGATTGAAGCCACGCATTAATCTTCTTTTACGAAGGGAGGGGGATGGCATGAGCCCACTCCATATTCTCTGCAATGTTTGCCATAATCCAGTGAAGTCAAAACAATCGACATAGTTTTGTCATTGCATAATTATTATACGTTTCAGCAGATCAGTTGCTGTTCCATGCATAACGAAAGGCATCAGAAAACCAGTCATTTGAATCACGGAAAACATTGCTCCTCAGTTTTTGATACAACTGCGTTGTTGTAATCCGCTTCCAATAAATTCTTCGGTAGATCCCGATCGTGATGCACCAACAAAAGTGAAAGAGCTGGCAAATTACTGGAGACGCACTGCAAGAACACCTTTAGAAAGCAGTTCAGTAGCAACAGCCTTGGCGAGTCAGAACCCTAGTTCTGAGACCTCGAATCTTCGCGAAATTTCCAGCCCCGTATCCGCCGCTCTACCGTCAGCCCAGCCATCTGTTTGCGAGCATCAGACCGCGCCACGCCCGTCGCAGCACCGCCTCGGCCTGCTTCGGCGGCGGCGATGGGGCGGGGCGCGCCGGTGGCGGCCCCCCCGCCGACACGGCGGTGGTGGGACCGGCACGAAGGCCGCTGGCCCGCCCGCCGCCGCCGACGCACCGAAATAGCGTGCCGAGGCGAAACGCGAGCCGAGTCAGCAGCGGCTGCCGAGCGCGGCCGCTCCGACGGCTGGGGAGCAGGCGGCCGGCGCTGGTGGCCGAAGGTGGCCGACCGGTCAGAGGGAATTGCGTCTCGTCGTCGTCGGTCGTCTGGCGAACGCCTTGATGGAGATCACAAACTAGGCAAGTGGTCTTGTTGCAGCAGAAGTAATACTTCTGGGAAACAGTGCTGTCGTGCTGGGAATCAGATTAGAAGAAAACCAGATCATGTAAAAATGGTCCGGACCAAATCGTGGGTAGCGTGCCAACCTCAAAACATTGAACTAATTTGACTTTGAAAATTCAGTTGTGGTGTCTTACGATGGTTACCGTTTGCAAGGAAATTTTGACACACATTTGCCACCCGCGCATTTATTTGCGCAAACGAGGGAAAACGCTGCCTCAAAAGCGCCGCACAGTTCTCTCGCAACCAAATCCACGTGACATGACCTCGAACAAACTGTTGTGCAGCACATGAAAATCATATCAACAGCACTGAGAACTTCCTCTTTTCGCTCACGTCGCTCGCTTTTTGTAGTGATCGCAGAAAAACTGCCCGGAGCTACTGCTCCCACTCCTCTTACCGAACAAGGGATCGAAAACCGGAGCCCGCGGCCGCTGTAAGCCGCGCCGTTTTCGCCGCTGACGGCGGAGCGCCGTCGCGCTCCGAGCTCGAACTGTCGACGAGCGGCGACGCGCTCCGAGCTCGGGCTATCGACGAGCGGCGACGCGCTCCGAGCTCGGGCTATCGACGAGCGCCGACGCCACCAGCGCGCTCTTCGGCCGTGCTGCCAGCCAAACAGGCCCCGATTGAATGCATATTTTATTTCTATGCGTCTCTCGCATCAGTTGACCAGAAACAAATCATATTGCCTTCCAATGACCCGAAAAAAGCACGTCATTCGCTGAAATTGCTGGTGGGCCTGCTGCCTGCGTTACATTCGGGCCGACTCGACGACGTCACCCCACGACGAAGTCGCCCGAGGGCACGACACGCCGAGCACACGCGCACCATGAGTCCGGAACACAGACGCGCCCTCGCCCCAGCCAGAGATCCGGCCGGAGCGCGGTGAGACGCGGCCCACCCGCCTCGCCGCGAACATGTCATCATGCGGGATCAGACGTCGCGGACGCCCGCCAGACGTTTTCCATCACGCGAAGCCCGGCTTACGGCCAGTAAACGAACCGCTGCTTGCTAAGCCCAATGGAACACACACTTTGTCTGGAGATCTGCGTGGAGTATATGGCTTCGCAAGCTCACGTCGGCGACATGGACCGCGGCTTCCCAACCAACAGCTCCAGCCGCCGCTTGTGAGCGCACCGCGCCGCCCGCGGCCGCGTGAGCACTGCTCGCTCCCGCCGCCGCCGTCCGATGGTGCTGGCGTCCGCGCCAGGCGGCCTCCGCCGCCGCAGGGCGCCGCCAGCGTCGTTTCCGCGCTGACCGCCGTCAAGCCGTGCGTGCCCGCCGCCGTCTTGCCCGTCCCACGGTGCTCACTTCGATTCGCGCGCCGCGCTGCGGCGTCAACACATCAACCCGTATGTCACGCGGCCGGGCGCGGCGCCGGCAGTCCCGGCGCCGCACCACCGCACCGCGCGGCCGGCACGCCAGCTCCCGCGCCGGCGCCGCCCGCTTACCCTGAGGGGACCCGGCCGGCCGGCTGGTGGCGCGCCGCCGGCTCGCCAGCTCCCACGCCGGCGCCGCCCGCTTACCCTGAGGGGACCCGGCCGGCCGGCTGGTGGTGCGCCGCCGGCCCACCAGCTCCCACGCCGGCGCCGCCCGTTTACCCTGAGGGGACCCGGCCGGCCGGCTGGTGGCGCGCCGCCGGCACGCCCTGACCCAATGTCCCGGCCAGGGAGCGGGCGCTGCCGCCGCCGCGCCGGCCGCCGGCCCGTTGCACTGTACGTCCCGACAATCGTGCGCTAGCGTTCGCGCCGCTACCGTCATGGGTTGTGGTGGGGCACGAGTGGCATCGGGTGGCCACCGCCAGGACCTGGGGACGGTCAGAAGCACGCCATCAGGGGTCAGAGGAGCACCTGAGCACGGCCGGAGGCACTCGGCAAGAGGTTTGAGAGCAGACGAGCAGAGGGCCAAAAGACCAGCTAGTCTTCAGTCACCGGAGGAACCTTAGAGGGTTAGCGGCACTCCGTCAGAAGTCATCATAGGGCCGTAAGGGCGTCATAGGTACATGGCCGGGGACACTGCGAAGTCGACCTCAGGCAACAGGGCATCATTCTTGGTCTTAGTACTGCGGCAACGAACTTACAGTGCGAGACCTGGGAAGTTATGCTCAAGCTAACTGACGTGCCCTAAAGTGCATTAAAACGTAACAGCAGAGCACAAATCCCTGTCACAACACCCCTGAGAAAACTTCAGATTGAACCTCCAACATGAAGCCGAACAGAGACTGAGACATAAGCGGAGGCAGAGCCCGAGTCGGACACGGACACAGCCCAGACACAAACCGTGTCGGAGGCAGAGACGGCCAGCTGGCCCACTGACCGTAGACGGGCGGCTGCGGCTGCTGGAAGTAGTAGGGCTGCGGCCCCAGCGCCATGGTCAGAGCCATGGAGGAGGAGGTGCCCGTGCTGGGTCCGCACGAGTACGGCTGTCCCTGCATCATGGCCAGTTGCGCCGGCGGCACCAGGTACATGCTGCTGGCCGGGTAGCCGCCGCCGCCGCCACCGCCAGCCGGCAGCTGGTACAACAGGCCCGCCTGGCCGCCGCCGCCGCCGCCGCCGCCAGGAGCCAGTGCCGCCTGCTGCGGCACCATGCCGTACGCCAGCGCCTGGTGCGGGGGAGGCGGTGGCGGCGGCGGCGGCGGGGGACCCTGCTGCGGCTCGTAGCCGGCCGGCGCCGGCGGCGGCGGTGGCTGCTGCGGCTGCTGCGGCTGAGGCTGCTGCTGCGGCTGCGGCTGCTGCTGCTGGTACATGGAGGCGTGCGCCGTCGGCATCATCCTGACGATCACCTGTCGGCAGAGCGGGGCCGTCGGCGGTCGCTGACGACGCCGCCCGCCGGCACAACCGAAGCTCGCTGCTGGATGGACCGGGGGGGGGGGGGGGGGGGGGGGGGGGGGGGGGCAGTACGCTTCAGCCGCACCATCAGCACCGCACAGTCGCGAAGCACGCAGCCAAGCCGGCTGACGTCGGCCCGACCGCGCCACAAAGAACAGCCAGCTGTTCTGCGACCGTGCTCGGCGGCCACCTCCCGCGTGTCCGCCGACGACGACGGCCAACAGCGACCGACCAGCGACGGCACCGCGTTCTCATCCCCGGCAGTCTGCCGGCCGGCTGGCGTCCCGCCCGCCAGCCCTGGCCTGTCCCGTACGGCTCACCTGGCCCGGGTAGTGGTGCGGCGCCACCATGCCGTTCTGCGGCATGGGCAGCGCGCCGTGCGGCGCCGGCGGGTGGCCGCCCAGCGGCGACGGCGCCAGCAGCGGCTGCCCAGTCATGGCAGCCACCTGCATCTGGGAGGCCTCGGCCCGCGGCGACACGCCCGCCAGTGCCGCGTAGTCACCTGCCGACGGGAAGCGCGGGGTGAGGTACGGCCGGGGCCGGGTCAGAGGCCGACACTCGCGGCCGGGGCCGGGTCAGAGGCCGACACTCGCGGCCGGGGCCGGGTCAGAGGCCGACACTCGCGGCCGGGGCCGGGTCAGAGGCCGACACTCGCGGCCGGGGCCGGGTCAGAGGCCGACACTCGCGGCCGGGGCCGGGTCAGAGGCCGACACTCGCAGCCGGAGCCGGGTCAGAGGCCGACACTCGCAGCCGGAGCCGGGTCACGATAGAGCTGAAAAGCAAAGGCTGAACACGACAGGGTCGCAGATTGACACAACACATGCATAAACCCACCATTTGGTCAGTCCGTCATCGGTCAACAAGCCAGTTGGCCGATTGGCTAGCTCGTCAGCAGCTGGTTGGCACGCCGGCGAACTGGGATGCATGCAGAATAAAGACAGGGATGCACACAGACACCCGCAGCCGCAATAAAGCGCGGTGACCGCCAAAGACCGTGGCTGCCGCGGCAACTCCTTCACTGCCGTACCGGCCCAGCTGGCGCGCCCCTGCCCGGCGGCCGGCTCCCACCTCTCTGTTTCTGGTGCCGCGGCGCCTGGTGCATCTGGTGCGGCAGCGGCAGCGACTGCGGCCCCATCGGCAGGTAGCTGAGGCCCGGGTGGCCCGGCATCGAGAGCAGCGACAGCTGGCCGGGCATCAGCGCCGCCTGGGGCGTCACCACGCGCGCCGGCGGATCCGGCTGCCGGCGGGGAGTCGCGCTCAGAGTCACAGTCAGGGCGGCAGCGGCCGAGCGGTGCCGGAGGCCCAGAGCGGCAGTGGACGCTTACAACCGCAGTCAGAGCGGCGTCGACCGCTCAGAGGAGTACTCCAAGAGGCACCGGACGCTCCGAACCACGCTCAGAATGGCGCCGGACGTGTAGAGCTGCACTCAGAGCGTTACTGGACGCTCAGAGCCGCCTCACGGGCCGATGCTCGGTCCACAGGTTGATGGAGACGTGAGCAGGAGGAATGGGGATAACAAAATACTGTACCAGTGCACACAAAATGCAAGCGCGTGAGGACTGCGGGTTGAAATGGGCAAGGGTAAATGCATGCACAGGGATTGGACACGTCACAAAGACGTTAACAATCTGCCGTATCATTTGCCACCAATGAAGGCGACGTCATTCGCTTCAACACCCCATAATAACCCTGATATATAACGTTCGCAGCTGATTTTCCCTCATGGCCAAACCACAAGCTCAGAGCGTATCATACCGCGGTGCCCAATCAGCAACAATCCCCTCGTACGTCTCGCAACAAAACAGTAGCGTAGCTGGCGGGACGCGAGCTGTCCTGTTTTGTCGCGAGAACCCGGCATGCGGCCGGCCGTTGGGCTTACCGAGTAGCCCATATTAGGCACGGGCACCGGCGTGAACGTCTTCGCGTTCGGATTCATCGTGAACTCCTTAGCGTTCGGGTTGAGTTTGGACCTTGCCAGCGAGTCTGCCAGCTTGGGCACGTCCTGCTTGGGCGTAGCAGCCGAGTTGGGCGTGGTCACTGTGCCCGCGGAAGGCGTCGTTCCGCCCGACGAAGTGGGCGTGGCGCCAGCAGCCGAGGTGGGTGTGGCCGGCTCACTGGGTCGACCACCGGCCGGCGTTGGCGCCGCACCCTCCGCGCGCGGCGCCGCCTCCTCCGCCAGCACGAAGTTCTCCTGGAACTCCTTGAGGCCGGTGAGCGCAGGTTTGCCGGCGGCCGGCGGCCGCTGCTGCCTGTCGGCGGGCTCCGGCGCCGGCGGGCCCGCCTCAGCCCGTTCCTCCGTCGAACGGCCCGGCGGAGAGCCGCGCGCCCTACCGGCGCCCGAGCGGCCATGGTGCGACGGCTGGCGCGCCGGCGCGCCGCCAGCCGTCCCGGGCCGCGGCCGCGCCGGCGGCGGCGCGCCGCGCGCCGGTCCGCGCGGCCCGGCCGCCGGCTCGCGCGGCGGTCGCCGCGCCGGCGGCACGTACCGGTCGGCGCGCGCGTCGCCGCTCGGCCGGCCGACGGCCGCGAACGCCGCCTCCTCGTCGCCGTTTTCGGCGTCGGCGCGGTGCCGCGAGACGGTGGAGCGCTCGATCTCGTGCGCGATGCGCGCCGCCCGCTCCAGCTGCTCCTCCGAGGTCAGCTCAAGCGGCGTCGTGTAGCCGGCCAGCGTCTGGTCGAACGTTGACCGCACGCCGTACATCTTCTCGTTGAGGCGGAACATCTCGCGCGGGTCCCAGCCATTCTGCGGACGACAAGGCAGGAATGGTCACGCGGTGCTCGACGCGGTGTGGGCGGCGCCAGGCGGCTGATCGGGCGTGGACGACGGCCATGTCGTCGTCATGGAGTTTCGTACACAAGTACTATGTATCTACACCAGAGACGCAACTTTCTCCAAAAAATCAGTCCGCAGCCCAGCCCGCCCCACCCAGCAAGTAGTGCAGCCCGCAAAAGCCCGCTGGGCTACATTGCTGACCCATCAACCCGCAAGCGCTAAATTACGGCAATATGTATTTCATTCTTTCACCTTAATTTTCGACCAACAGGTTTCAGTGTGCAAAAATGACATGTCAGTGTGACCTAAAACATAGCATTGTTTGGCTAACATCAGTGATGTTGCTTAGAGAGCGGTTGTCAAAGTACCTGGACAAAAAATCCTAATGCGCCAAAGTAGACATTAAACACTATGCTGGCAGTTTTCACCAACAGATGAGGAGAAAGATGGGGGAAATTAGATTTGTCCATCACCAGAAACTACCCAAAATTTCACCTTTCTATCTCATCTCAACAGACGGCAGAACATTTCTTCTTAAATTGCCGACATCAACTGATGGCTTTGCACTGAACGGACAGAGTAAAAAAATAATAAAATACACAATCTCCCTCTCCCTCTCCCTCTCCCTCTCCCTCTCCCTCTCCCTCTCCCTCTCCCTCTCCCCTCTCCCTCTCCCTCTCCCTCTTCCCTCTCCCTCTCCCTCTCCCTCTCCCTCTCCCTCTCCCTCTCCCTCTCCTCATCCTCTCCCTCTCCCTCTCCCTCTCCCTCTCCCTCTCCCTCTCCCTCTCCTCCTCCCTCTCCCTCTCCTCTCCCTCTCCCTCTCCTCTCCCTCTCCCTCTCCTCTCCCGTCTCCCTCTCCTCTCCCTCTCCCTCTCCCTCTCCCTCTCCCTCTCCCTCTCCCTCGTCCCTCTCCCTCTCCCTCTCCCTCTCCCTCTCCCTCTCCCTCCCTCTCCTCTCCCTCTCCCCTCCCTCTCCCCTCTCCCTCTCTCCTCCCTCCCTCTCCCTCTCCCTCTCCCTCTCCCTCTCCCTCTCCCCTCCCTCCCTCTCTCTCTCCCTCTCCTCCTCTTCTCCCCTCCTCTCCTCCTCTCCCTCTCTCTCTCTCTCTCTCTCTCCTCTCTCTCCTTTCTCTCTCTCTCTCTCTCTCTCTCTCCTCTCTCTCTCTCTCTCAACTGACCGCCTCCTCGAGCGAGACCAGCTGCTCGCTGGGAATGTCGTCCTCCACCCAGGGCTGCAGCTCGCGGGCGGCCAGCGAGCCGTTCGTCTTGCCAGAGATGGCGCCATCTGTCTGGAAGCCCGCTGGAACATCCCGCATGCCGCTGGTCAGTCGCCGACCCCAGCGCACCCCACAGTCACCAGCTGACAGCGGTCACGCACACACCGCTGGTCAGTCGCCGACCCCGGCGCCACCCCACATTCACCAGCTGACAGCGGTCACGCACACGCTGCGGAGTGCACCACGTGACTTTTGCGGCATGCCAGTATCCAGCACAGGAAACGGCACTTCGGTAACACATTGTCAGTGTATGACGCACCAGAGGGCTGGCGTCGTTCGATACGCCGTCAGATGCTTCGAGGAGTGGGTTGGAAAAAACATAGCTCGCACTAGTCATGTTGGGCTATGTTCGAGGCTTTAACTTGTTACAGCTATTTGCAATGGTATTGTCTGGTTCCACCTCCCCCCCCCCCCCCTGGATTTGCAGCATGGAAATGCATGGAGACTTGCATAAGGGTGTAAATGAAAGTATGACAAAACATTTCGATAAATATTAGACGGCTGAAAGGATGGTTGAAAATACCGATACGACTGTATCGTTGACATTTCACGAGCCACCAATGTGAGACAGAATGATTCCGATAAAAGCTGCATGGTAAAAGAGGGACGACTTTGAAAGGAATGACTTCAACGGCATATATTCTCTCATATTAAATCAATTAATGCTGGTGGCAACGATCACACCGAAATTGCCAAAGATTATGGCTCTTCCTGGCTAATAAAAGCTGATTAACACCATAGAGTAACCAGCTGAAACGACGCAGTGACTTCCCCCTGATGAGTGCTGTCCATGGGGACAAGCAAAATGCCTGAATGGCTGTCGTACGCGAAAATGAGCCAAGAACTACGCTAATCTAGACGTCTCATTCTCCCAATCATCGCCCAACCAACGCAAAGGACAGCGTTACATCTCGGGGAATAGACTGGTCCACTTGGATGTCCCATTCTCTGAACCACCGCCCACCCAACGCAACGAACAGCGTTACATGTCGGGGATCAGACCGATCGGCTTGAATTTCTTTCGAAGCAATGCCCGCAATTTTTTCAACGTAGGATTCAAAGTAATCTGTCTAACTGGCGTGAAAAAACAACCGACGAAACCGCCCACACTGCACACCAGGAAAGGGGGACAAGCACATCAAGGGATAAGTGAACCAAACCCAGTTGGGCACAGCTCTTGCGCAAGTAGAGGACGAGTTGGCTTTGTAGGCAGGTCGACGTTAATATCAAATGCACCGCTGCATAGCGGCGAAAACCGGCGACTGTGTCTGCCCGGCGAGCGGAGCACGCCGGTCGGGCGGCGGCGTCTGCTCACTCTTAGTGGCGTAATCCAGGTCCACATTGGCCGCCAGAATGGTGACGATCTGGTCGCTTTTGAAGATGACCTTGTCGCGGATGGCCTTGGGGTCGATCTTCTTGGGGTCCTCGCGGCTGACAGGGTTGGCCAGGCCCAGCACGAAGCAGTTGTCCTCGGAAACGGACTCCAGCACGCCCTCGTACAGCGCCTGCGACTTGGTGAGCACCTGGCCAGGAGGAAGCTGCTCAGCTGGCGGCCTCCGCGGGCCGCGGCGGTCACCCGCACGCGGCGGACGCTGCGCGGCACACCGCCGCAGCCGGTGCGCCACCCGCGTGCGAGCGGCGTCTCCGGGCCGCGTGTGGCTTCGAAGACAAGGCAGCAGTCTGCAGCCCGTGCGTTAACTCACGCACGCGATGTTACCAAGTGCTACAGAGATATGCCAAGAATTCCTGCCGGCTCCGATACACACAGCAATGCTACACGCCACTCCTCACATTGTTCTTAATGGAATGCATGCCTAACGCAAGTGTGTACGCCATCAGGCCTGCACCCTTTAAGCATGCACCAACCGATCAAGCTAAAGCATGTGCGGTCTGACCGTAATGCATCGTTCACCACCAGCAGCGCTGGAACACACGAGCACGAGCACGATCCGGCGCGCGCCGCCGCCGCCGCCGCCGCCGGCGGGGCTGGTCTCTCTCTCTCTTTCTCTCACCCGGACGGTGCAGCCGAGGACGGAGGTGAAGACGTGCGCGTACTTGGGGTCGGCGTACACGCCGGCGGCCTCCGGCGGCGGCCGGTCCTGGCTGGGGCGTGGCTCGCGGGCGCGACCGAACCTGGCGACCGGTGCCCGCCGCGTCAGACGCCACCGCGCAGGCCACAAGGGCAGAGGCCGTGGGCCGGCGCGCCGCTGGGAGGCCACGGCAGCAATGGACACGACAAAGAATATAAACGAGGACAGAAAAAGAAGGGAATTACGGAAGAAAAAAAGAAGAGACGAAAGAAGAGGAAGACATGTATACATATGAATATGACTATAAATGCATATATACATATATATATATATATATATATATATATATATATATATATATATATATATATATATATATACAAATAGCAACGCCTAGTGCATATGGCATGAACATTATCATACTGGTACATCGAGCAGTTGATGTCTTGAATTCGTGGCGATCTATAACTTACCTTCCATTGTTATTTGCGTTGGATGGTCCCGAATTTCTCGACTTCCTGGGTCGGTTTCCCTGGTTGTTGGAGTTCATTACGGTGTTTCTGTAAGTTTGTGTAAGTATCTGAAAGAAACAACACGACCATGGTACGCGCTGTGGTATGCCACATTAAGGAAACTTGCCTCACCGACAGAATGCTTTTCATTCACACGAGTGGAAAGATAACGCGAGAACAGTGCATCACTGTTGCTAGCGTTGTGCCAGGAGATCCACACTGTACTACTAAGGTAAAGTGCGAAGAAAAAGCTTAGAATGGAGGAGGTCAGACAGTTTCATAATGCAAAAGTCCCGCCGTCAAATGATGCAGTTCGGCCCCTTCTGGTTGATAAATTTTCCAGCGCGATGTCAGTACGTAACCATAGAAATGTGGGTGGTGGTAGAGCATCTGACCGGCGAACACAACAGCATGGATTCCAGACCTCCTGCAAGGTGTGTCGCGATCGGGACAAGAGGCTGTGGCCGTATCGGCGACTTGCGACGCCGCGGGTTCGAGGTTCGCGCCTTGCACGCAGTTTGCGTGCACTCCGTCACAATCCGCGTGAAAGGTGGCGGCGGCGGCGGCACGCGTTATATTGATACATAGTCATCGAAATACCAAGCAACACTTTTTAGGATTGCTCCTACGATGTCTTATGTAGCACGCCGACGCTTGGCCTGCGAAACGTCATGATCAGAATAAGGCCGGTCCCGTAATGCTGCACCGAGTCCTGTGGCAGTCACATGCAATGTTTCTCGTCTGCTTCCGTTAAGAGTAGGATGCCAAAGACCAGACGATACTGCGGCCGCGGCCGAACTGCTTTACGCAGTGGCCTGAGATGGCGGAGTACACTTCCGATCCTCAACAATCTCCGCCCATCACGCGACTCTTGAGAAACACCGCGCATCACGGGGACCACGCTAGGATTGGCGGCCGTTCGCAGCCACCTCCTCGTGTCGACCAGCCCGAAATTGACAGTCTATGCCAGAGGCTTACCATGTGCCCCATATCCTTCTGTCCTGCCAGGAGCCATCGGTGACATACCGAATCGAAAGTCTTGCCAATGTTGAGGTAGATGGCATTGGTGGGATCCCCATGAATCGCCACCTTGGTCCAATCCTCCGACACCTCTAGCAGCTCAGAGAAGCAGTGGGGTCTGAACCTGGCTGGTCATTGGAGCCAGTGGGGTGAATCTTTCTGTTGTACTGCATGGGATCACTCTACAAGCACTTTTTGAAATGGTCCACATTCACTGCAGCCATTTAGTTTTGAATGTTTTTATGGATGCTTTTGTTTCAGTCCATCTGAAACCTACCACCCAAGGCACATCAATTCAGCATCAAATTCATTAAATAATTTTGTCTCCAGCCTTTCTCCAGCAGAATTGGGGAGTTTTGTGATACATAAAAGTGCAACACATACCACCAACATGCCAAGTTGGCCCACTTTGGTCATAGCCATCTGACATTTCAATGTCAGTCAGAACAAACAATGCACCTGCTCACCTGCTGTCCCATGCTAGTGCCACTGGATGCATCTCTCCCCTAGGCTGTGGGTCCATTGCTATTATAATTATAGCTATTATACATAGTTTCACCTTCATGGCTTCTGCTCACAAACTGATAACTCACAAGATGTGGCCCCTGCACTATACTGCAAGCTCTGGCATGCACATGTCTTCTCAGTGGAGATGCTGCTTAAGTACTTGTTTGGCCATCAGTCTTATCCCGCCTATTACTTATAATATTCATTTGAGATCACCAAGTTTTAGCTTTAGTGTGAGCCTGGAACATACATACTGCCAAAACACTCTTGACTTTGCCTGACATTACTTGCAATGAATTTCTTACTCTTTCTCACAGTTACAATGCTAGGCCTCTATTATACCAAGATAATTAAGCAAAGGCAATGGTTTCAGGTGACAAGCATATCTTTGCAATGAGGTCCCCATTTTCTTAAGTCTTAGTGTTTCTGGACATGCAGATGCCCATGCTGCTGAGCTTGTCTAGGCTTGTCTTAACAAATATTAAAGCTGACAATAAAGTAATTTTAAGGCACAGATGTAAACAGGTAAATTTACCTGTTCAAATATACCTAGCTGCAGTGAAACAATCACAGGTATCTTATTGCATTACATCATGGTAACATTAAACTAAAGTACAAAGTGAGATTTGGATGCTATGAGGCCCTTTGACAGCCAGTTGGCACATGAGCAGTTATTACCAGTGAAAAGCAGATGTTTGGTGTTTGCACCATGTGTTAAGTATTCAAAAATATTAGTAGTGCTTTGATGATAACATTGTGACATGCTATGATATAAACAAGCTGCACACAGGTCACAGTCTTCACCTTCACAATGTAATTCCATCTAGTGATGCGTCTTGAAATAGATTGACAAGCAGGATACCTCTGATATTTCTGGGTAACTTTTGATATATGAGTAGATCTCATTGCTTGCTGGACACCACCAACCCATCCTTGATATGCAGGTAATAGCTTACAGAGTGTAAATAAGGCAAAGCAACAGCAGGAGATATGGCATGTGCCTGGGTGTTGAGTAACCTTAGTGGGTAAAATGATGCCTGGCTTATTTTGAAATCCTATTATATCTGTAGCATAACAATTTTCTGGAATAACATGAATGATCATCTTTCTCTTCAAGGCATTCTAATATCTCATCGCTTAAAGGCATTCAAAATATTTTAAAATGTTAGTAAAAAGGGGCACAAATATCTTCCTAACTGTACAATGAACTAATAACAGCATATCTGTCACTTCAGTGTTTACTTCATATGTTTACTTCATATGTTTACTTCATGTGTTTACTTCATATGTTTTCAGTGTTTACTTCACTTCATATGCACATCATCTAGCAGATGGCACTGTGATGCTCAGATGAATGGTGCTCTGAGAAAAAGACCTGCAATGTTTTTAGGCATAGTGCTATCTTAAAAAATTGGGGCCTCACATTTCCAAAGTGAGCAAGCATACTTAGGTATATTGCATGATAACACACATTATACCTTCAAACACTTTTCATAGCAAATTTGTTCAACCTCAGCATATTGGTTGCAGCAGCCTAAGCACAACAGAAATCAATCAGTACACTCAGCCCACAAGGAGCTAGGTTCTTCTCCAACTTAGTTTTATTTTTAACAAATATGATAAAACAATGGCACTCAAGTAATGCCACACTGACAGCAAACTCACCTCTGAGCAGTAGCCGGTCGGTTTATCCCCTACACCATGATAATGCATGAACTGCCTGCCTGGAAGTTCTCCACTCAGAAGAAATCCATGGAATGGATGGCTGAAGTACCTCACGACGTACAAAGACCTAAAATACTTGTATCTTCACTTTTCAATAAACAACTTCGAAGGAATTATCGGGTCTAGCCCATGTTTTTGCACACACTTTTAACTTGAATTGCAGCGACACATCATGTAGACAACTTTGCCAATTATAGAACGTAGCGGAATTCACTTACAGACACGCCACACATAGCAATCCACAAAACCCAACTCCGCAAAACCACTCCTCCGGCATCGAAGTCCGCATTCGCCGCATCCCCACCTGCATCAAGAATATTCTTAAAACGAAGGCTCATATTAAAACACTGACATTGGTACGCGCGTAGAAAAGCCCCTTCTGTGCAGGGATCTCTCTGATGGGCATATTATTCGACATGCAGAACAAAAAACAGCCCTCCACCAGATAAGCATACAAATGTAAGAATCAAGGCCGTAAAAGTGTAGAGTATATTGGGCTACAATTCCATTTTCCAAGGCTACAATCCAAGGAGCGCAGCCGAGCCGTGGTTGGGGCACGCCGGATATGGCAAGTGTGCATGGCGATGGTTCACTGGCTTTGTTGTTTCAAGGGGTAATTTTTTCCAGGAAAATGCTTTCGTCCTTTGCTTAAGCCCATGAGTGAAAAGAAAAGCCCCTTCTGTGCAGGGATCTCCCTAATGGGCTGATTATTTGACATGCAAAAAAAATCCCTATACCGGTACCGTAAAGTGGGGTGTGCTTGCACTTAGAAGTAAAAAGCGGATGGTGTAACTCAATGGTCGCATCGAACAGCCAGTCGGCGCCACTCATGTTACAATGGTCCATTCTGCGCTTTCTAAACCGATACGTCATAAATAAACGTAAACCACTCCATCACGACTGGTAGCGTCCCGTCCACCTGGAAGCTTGCGACAATCGTGCCTTCGCGCAAGGGAACTGGTGTTTGAGCCGTCGAATTACAGGCCTATCAGCGTTATCCGTGTTGTAAGCAAGCTGATGGAGAGGGTTGGTTGCACCCAGCGTTAAGAATATGTGACTCGTCGCCACATTCTTGTTGACTCACAATACGCGCGCCGTCCTCACCGCTTCACCGAGCATGCAGTCATCGATATAGTTAGCCACATAAACAACAACATAGACGCCGGTATGGTCACCACCATCAGCTCAACTGACTTGTCAAACGCAGCCGATTGTGTAGACCGCTCTGCTCTTTTGGCCAAACTGGAATGCTATGGTATTTCACCACACTGGCTTTCGGATTATTTCGCCGACCGCCGACAGCCTGTGAAGGGTGGAAACGGGCCGAGCCTTGAGGTCGCGTATGGCGTGGTCCAAGGCAGCATAGTAGGACCGCTGATGTTCCTCCTCTTTACCAACGGCATCCAGTGTTATGTTTCAGCTACGTGCAAACTGGTGTCACATGCAGACGACGTGCAGCTCATGCATGAATCATCACCATCTGCCTGTGGTCTCACGCAGTTGTGTTCGTGTGTTGAGTCCGATCTGACTTCAGTCTCAGCATATGGTTTCGTCGCAATGTCATGAAGATCAACTCATCAAAAGCTGAATTCATTGTTGCTGGCACACCCACCAACACCCGCAAAGCCGCCGGGCTGAGCGTGAGTTTTGGTAACTTCAAGCTGTCTCCTTCAGAGTACATCAAAATACTGGGGGTGCTCATCGATAAAAATATCAGCTGGCAGCATCAAACGGCCAAAACTACTCAGCGCTGTTTTGGCTCCCTGATAGCTATCAACAAGCTTAA